AGGATGTGGAAAAAAGTGAATTTATACAATGCAAAGAAAGATTTTTTATATTCAGTCAAAGTATTTTTCTACTAACTGAGTATAATTTCAATTTTTATCCACATTCTACAAGTATTAGTTAAAGTTAAACAATATTTGTAAATCCCAGGCCCTGAAGATGATCTGAATGAAGATCGAAACGTTGGCACCATAAAGAAATGTTTTTCTAAAACCTAAGTCACACCAGACCGCATCTCACGATCTCCGAATAATCATATATTAGATTTAGACAATGAACAGTAAGCTTGTTGTATTACGGTTTATAGTAGCGTGACTGTACATATAAACAGATTGGAGAAGTATATTTATATATTTATTACTGTGCAATAATATCTCATTTGTCAGTCGCTTTTCATGCTTGAATAAACTGATGGACAAACTTAAAGTACCACGCCATTTATTATTTTAAAATTAAATCCATTATTTTTGTATATTAGTTACTGGCAATTAGGGGCTATCTTACCTAAAATAAACAACTAATAATGCTTTATTTACTTTTGTACTCATTCTTTTGCACAAATAATAGCATTATGTCATTCCATTCTCCTTCGCCTAAAGATCGCTTTCAGTTAATCTTTTTCCTTCGTTGATTTGATGGTATTCTTACTTTTAAAGATTATTTGGAGATCGTGAGATGCGATCTGGTGTGACGTAGGTTTTAGAAAAACATTTTTTTTATCGTCCCACGTTTCGATCTTTATCGAGATCATCTTCAGGGCCTGGGATTTATAAACATTGTTTAAATTATACAAATACATGTAGAATGTGAAAAAAATGATTTTGTACAATGCTAGAAATTTTAGATTGAATTAAAGTAAATGGCCAAGCTTCACTTGTCCGGGAACATGTGAATTGAAGATTGGAAAATTGGTGACGTTCAGGAGAAAGGTACGCCACTTGATACGGTTCCTCAGGAGGAATTCCATGTTGGGTACTAAGGGTATACAGCTAATATTACTACCTCATAGTAGGGTAATTAATATTTAAATGAGGTGCGTTAATTTTTCTATCAGTGTATAAAAGCGAGATGTCTACAAACATTTATACAGTTTGTGCTTTTTCGATTGCCTGGCTGAATTTCTCTTGAAGGAACGATGCTATCAAAAAACAAGGCAATACATGCTTAATATTTTTTAAACTAGTTTCAAATTGTTACTTTTCTTTAGGGAAAAATTATACAGGGTACCTCAAACCCAGTTCAACTTCAAAATTTCAAATACTTCATACATAAATATTCATATAGACCCATCGTTTTGAAGGATCTTTCTACGCTGAAAACAATAGTGTAATCGGATTTTAAATTGGTCACAAATTGACAAAGTTATGGAAAAAAAAACAGTTTTTATTTGCTATTTGTTAATCACATTTCATGTTTGAACTGCCTGCCTTGCGTTAAGATGCAAAAATTTACTATTTTTATACACTCTTCACTGGTGCTGAGAGCGATAGTCAGGAGGTTGCTGACAGCAGATTGACAAGCGTTTTCTATCCCTTGCCGCAGTTGTTCAACGGAGGTTGCTGGGTTATGATTGGCAAAGATGGACACTGTTTTGTAAATAGCCCCCAAAAAAAATAGCCATCCATCAAGCTGGACAATCATTCTTGGTCATTGTTGTAGAGGAACATTATCTAATAATTTTGGTCAAACTTCCTCAAAAAATGAAGAACCGAGCACCATTTAAATAATTTTCGTAAAAATAAGGCCCAATTATTTATTTCCGGGAAGTTCACACCAAACGTTGATACTGTGAACCATCTGATGATGATAAGAGTTTGAAATTATCCGATTTTCCTCGTCCACGTTCAAAAATTCCAAAGGTTTATTATGCCATTAGAGGTGAACTTGGATTCATCAGTTCATAGGATGTATGGAAGAACATTTTCTTCGAGTTTAAAATTGTATGTCCGGAGTACATCTCTAATTTTATTGTTTGGAAAACTTAAAACCCTTCCGACATTTCGGAAATAGGAATTCGGATTTTCGTGAACATACAGTAATATATTCAGCTCTTCGTCGAAATTTCGCTACCGGTTTCTTGAATATTCAAGACGTATTTTTATAGCGTCATTGGTTCAAGAGAATTCAGCAGGGCCATCAAAAAAGGACATCCTGCATAAGAAGGTGAAACTTTCATTTTCACCCTCCCAGCTGGGAATTTTCAAGATAAGGTTCGAATATTCAGAGTAGGTAGCATGACGTCGACAGGAATAATAGGTTAATAGATAGGAAAAAGGTATCCCTCCCCGAAAGATATATCACATGTATTTGTTCTGGCAGGCATCTTTGCGGTCACGTGACGGATATTTGTCATAATGCCGCGGTGACGTAATGCATAGCCAATAGTCTCATACTTCATCCCTTTTTTTCCTTCCCTTATTTTTAAAAAAAATTGACACTGAAATGACGATCCCAGCGGAGAAGAAATATTGCTGAAGAAAAGAGTAATGTTTCGAAATGTGGCCATGGTGCCCTTTTCCATTGATCAAGTCAGAGTTCTAAAATAATTTTCCTCTTGCCATTGACACACCATTTTGGTTTATGTTTTGATTTTTTATAGTAAACAATTAGTTACTTTTTTAAGGAAACTTTTTGGGAAAATGTATTAGGGATATTTTTCGTTTTTAATATATAAGTGAAGTAGAAAATATAGGACGATTAATCTTTACCTCTTTTATAAATCTTTAATTTAAACAAAACTGACATGAGTCCAAAAGAAATATCTTAAAGTCTACGGATAATAAATTCATGAACAGAAGCGCACCTTTTCAATGTTTTTACAGTTAGAAATAATACACTTATAAAAATAATAAAATATGATACAAGAGTACTCAGAAGTTTAGCGGTTCATTTTATTTTCCATCTAAATAATTTAAAGAAAATTAATTAAGTGTAATTGTGTTATATTTTAAGTTTAAAATTTATTGTATAAATGTATAAAATTGTCTAAAACCAATACAAACCCGTACTTTAATTTAGAGGTTCTTCTTTTATATGAAATTTGTGAAGATACCACTTTGATGCGAATACCTTCTATTTTCCTGGTATTTTTCAATTCACTAATTTCGTGGTCCGCTTGACCAATTAAATCATTACAATTAATTAAGGTTTGTAGTTGAGATGAAAAAAAGCTAATGGCACGAGCGGGATTCGAACCCACGATACGCCGCTGCTTGAGCTATCGTGACCTCGATCCAATCGGACATCAACTTCCTATCTCAACCCCACCTTATGGGTTGAGATACAACCCCTTTCCCTCCTTTTTGCCATTTTTCATCTCAACTAAAAACCTTAATTAATTGTAATGATTTAATTGGTCAAGCGGACCACGAAATTAGTGAATTTAAAGACTTAATATGAAGTACACTTCACTAAAGCTCTCCGTGGCCATTTCAATTGTCGAGAATCCAAACCGATTACACGACATTTGAAAAATGGCGTTATATTAACTCAGCTTAAATCGTCAGTTCAAGAAAGGATGAACATACCTTGACCTTATTTTTTAGCCAAATTAACATAACCCTAACCTTACCTTGGGGTGTAAATCTTGCAATTCATATCGAGAGAATTGGTTGTGGAACTCCTTCAACCTGATGATGAGCTATTACTTGAAATCTGGATCGTTGAAAACAACTAACTGTGAGTAGGAACTATCTTTTTATAAAAAATTAAAACGATTAATCCTAACCCTACTCAATCTAAACTTACCCAACCCATGAGTTCTCACCGATTGCGCAAAATAAATACGCAAAAATGGTCAAACAAAAAGATTTTTGTTTATTTTTATTTTAACCCAAACTTTCCAAAGACGGAGAGCCAAAACATACATTCATAAAATGTAGTCTTTATTTATTAACAAGAATCGATTTCGGGTGCTGCCGGCTCCACCTCTTCAGCTGTTATGATATAAACTAAACAAATAACTATCAAATATTAAAAAAAACAACGTGTTAACATTTAGTAATAGTCCACTAATTTTCGTGGACGGCTTGACCAAGAAATATCTTTCAATTAATTAAGGATGTTAGTTCAGATAAAAAAAAGTCAGTGACACGGTCGGGATTCGACCCCACGACCTTCGGCTAGATATGCCGCTGCTCTACCACTTGAGCTATCGTGAATCGATCCACTGGGACACTAACTTCCCATCTCAACCCCACCTTTGAATTTTTCCATCCTTTTTGCCGTTTTTCAAGTGGATCGAAGTCACGACAGCTCAAGTGATAGAGCAGCGGCGTATTTAGCCGAAGGTCGTGGGTTCGAATCCCGCTTGTGACACTGACGTTTTTATCTCAGCCAAAAACCTTAGATCAAGCGGACCACGAAACCTAATAAAAAGTGTTTACCAATTTTTAAAAATTTACCATTTTTCAAGTGTTGTGTAATCTATTTGATTCTCGGCTTCAAATGAAATGACTACGGAGAGCTTTAGTAAAGATATACTTCATTTTAATGTATTAACTTCACCAATTTTCGTGATCCGTTTGACCAATTAATATAATTAATTAAAGATATTAGTTGTGTCCAGGTTGGTAATAATTTTTCATTCCAGAAAGTGTGGATTTATTAGCTTTCTAATATTTCCTTTAAGGTTTGTGTGTATCTTTTATCAGGGTTTTTTTAAAGTTCCAATAGTTAGAGTTATAGGGTCTTTGGCAAGGATTTTGTTAACTACTGTACTTGCTTCAGTGATGTCAATTTCTATGCAATATATTCTCCACGATACTTGTTTTGCCTATATGATACATAGTTTTACTGTATTCTTCAGAATTCCTCGTTTTTCCGTTCTATGCCAAAGTTTGGGAGTTTTCTTTCTTAGTGCCAATCATTAAAGATGAGAAGTAGCAAAAGGCGTCTGAAGAACAAACCTGGTGAGAATAGATGTGCCAGGATGATCTTTTCAACTTTTCTAGTGCTGTGTATCAAAACATGAAATTTTAAGTAATGACAGGTTAATTTTCAGATATGGGGAACTACGACCAAGGATGAGACTATAACCTCGCCAGTTTCCCAGAGAGTGTAGTGAAATGGAGGTTGGTATGGTTTTTATTGTACTTTTTATGTTCAATTTAGTCATGTTCCGGTTGAGGGAAATTAAACGAAAAACGAAAGTTTTGTAACCCCTTGCTACGTTTTTTTGTTTTGTTTTGAAGAGGGGTTGAAAAGGAATATTAGCCCTGCCTCGATGACTGTGTAAGGGGGGAATTAAAATTTCTCCTGTCGAGCACGAGGGAAGTTAGAGAAAGTCTTTCAGTTAATGCCCGTTTCTCACGATAGAAACAACAGTATTCATTACCGGAAAATAGGACCAACTTTAACTTACAGTTCAATATCTAGGCAGGGATGGTGCTATTTCGTTTATTGTATATAAAAATTATGGTTTTTTTATGATCCATTTAACGAAACGTGCCTTACTGTGATTTTAATTCTATTTATTAATTATTCTCAATTTTTATTATTGATATTCAAATAACAAAAGGGGAATTCAGATATTTTAAAAATATAAACAAAACAGTTAGGTAATATTTTTTCTATTATCTATGCTTTTATACGACACTCAACACGAAGCCATTAAAGAAAAAATTACCATTATTATGTACAAGGGAGGATCGAAGTTGGTCATCGGGGCTGGGGGCAAAAAATTTCGATTTTTTTTTAAAGCACAAAATATCTAAAAACGTGCCAATCTTGAGAAAACGTTACACATCGTTTTTCGGCCCAACGCAATACTTACTCCTCCTTCAAAGGTAAAAACTGAAAAAAAAATAACTTGATTTCAAAGTTGCAATACTTTAATTTCAAAAAGGAACATATTTTTCATTTATTTCCAAAATGTTTTTCCGTCATAGTCGCAATGTAATGTTTTTAGTCACCAACTTATGGGTTATCACAACGAGTGATATAATAAGAAGATTAGAAGCAGAAATCAAAAAAGCACCAGAATGACATGTCTAATCACAAAACAATCGTGGTCTGCAATATAATTTTTTAGCAAAAAAACCCCTCACGCCAGTAAGGAGTGAGAGGTAGATTTCTTTCTTTTGCGGAATCATTCCAGCGGTAAAAACGTGTGTGATGGAGGTTTCAGAAAAACAATTTCTTTATCGTGCCAATGTTTCGATCTTTATTGAGATCATGTTCAGGGCTTGGGATTTACAAACATTGTTTACATTTAACAAATACAGATAGAATGTGGAAAATAGTGAATTTATACAATGCAAACAATTAATTTTTTATATTCATTCAAAGTATTCTACTCACTCAAAGTGTTTGTTTTCTGCGTATTCAATATATGAATATTCTGAATATAAAAAATATATTTTTTGCATTGTATAAATTCACTTTTTTCCACATCCTACATGTATATGTATTTGTTAAATTTAAATAATGTTTGTAAATTCCAGGCCCTGAAGATGATCTCAATAAAGATCTTAACGTTGGCACGATAAAGAAAATGTTTTTCTGAAACCTACATCACACCAGACCGCAACTCACGATTTCTGACCAATCATCGACTAACGGTCACTAATCACTACACATTTAAAAATTATAGTATAATTTGATAACCATGGGTGTATATTATTATTTATTTTATACAAAACGTATCATCATAAATATATTGCAATATGATAAAAAATTAATCATTTGTTTTTGTTTCTTGTTACCTGCTGGCATAAATTAAATTAGATTCGGGCCATTTTTTCCTAGACCAATGAAAATAAAATAATGGTTTACTAGTTAACTGCCTAATTTGAAATTTTATTTAAGCTATTTAATTAGTTATTTTCTCGCGTTACTTCACTATTACTTTTTTGTAACAACGGGAGATTTACGGAAAAAGACGTGCGATGGCCACGACATATTTATTAATAATGTACAGAATTTTAAGGCATATTGTATTAAATTGGCCTTATTTGTAAAAAAAAATTGGCCTTATTAGTAAAAAAAAAATTGGCATATTTGTAAAAAAAAATTAAGAAAGCCTACGGTTTCATTTTATTACAAAAAAAAGAAATTAATTTGACCTTTTAAACGAAAGAAATTAGCTTGAAAGTACCGTATTTGAGAAAAAATCCCGATTAAAAATTGGGATTTTTTAAAATTATTTGATTGATTTGAGACAAACCGAGTTTAAAAGCTGCAGGAAGAATCCAGCTTAAAATCGGTATCAAAAATGTGAAAGTCCAATTATGAGGTGGCGTAGCTAGGAGGGAGTGAAGTTAAACAAATCGAGCTGGTTGTTGTGTGGAAGAAAAGGCAAAAATTTTGATTGAATTTTTTACTTTCATCGCCAATAACTCTCCGACCCCCTGTCCATTTGGCTGAACAACAATCCCAACCGATCTTATGGGATTCTTTACCTCCCTGTCCTCGCGATCAAAAATGCGCTAGATAGCTCTAAATTTTTGAAAGAAATCTACTTAAAATTCAACATCAACTTACAGGCTTCTTGATATCAAGTCGAGTGTTCGAAGCATCGAACCGTGTGAAAACAAATCCAAAATGCGACCAGTTAAAAGCCAACTGATTTAATTTAGGGAAGGTTTATCAAAGATAACAGATCAACATTTTTTTAATTCTGAAATATAAGCATCTTAATTAAGGCTAAACTAAGTCATATTACATATAACACATACCATCTTCATTTGGCTCCAGGGTGGGGTAATTCCGCTTTTACATCCCCCTTGGATTTATATGTTTGTGTGTACTTCTTTCGTGGACTTTATTTAATTTCCCTATTCACTTTTTAATAGTTATCTCGCTATTGTTTTTTATTTTTTTTATTTAGGACTTAATCTTTCTCTGGGTGTGATTGTTTCTCTCCCTTTCCCCGCTCTTTTGCTCACTCGCTCTTTTTCTCGCCCTCTACTTTTCAATCCCACAAAGTCACATGCTTTTTTCTCTCATTTTTCACAGTCTGTAAACCGTGCTAGTTGAATTTGGTTATTTTCTTATAAGCTACATTTTATCTTCGACCATTAAGTATCTAGGTTAACCAGTTTGTAGTATGTATTGATTTTTATGCAAAAAATGTTTAGATGAAATATTAGTGTCACTCGAATTCACGGCATACGGATTAATACTGCTCTATCACTTGAGTTATCGTGAATTCGGTCAGCGAGACACCAATTCCTCATCTTAATCACCAACTAAACGGCTCATAAATGAATAGGGATATTGCCAATTATGTAGTATTTTCTTTCCCTAGCATTTTTATTATAAACTGCATTAAAATTTATAAGAAATTAATGTTTTTTCTGAAGGAAAATTCAATTAAAGGATTTTGACAAATAACAAAGTAAAAGATTTTAATTCTTTAATTTTGTTTATAAAACAATTTTAAACAACGTATAATGTACTAATTTCATAAGTAATTTCAATCCATAGATGTTGCCGCGCTGCACTAAGTTTTTGTAGGTTAACTGGCTGCGGACGGTGATCGAAAAACCTTCTCTGCAACGCATCCCGCATGTGCGCAATGAAAATGAGGTCTGGAGACAAATAGAAAAGGGGCAAATGGGAACTTCCCTTGTTTTGTAAACAATAAGGGAATTCACGATATTTGTGTTAACCCTGTGTACTCTGTTAGGTCCTGTTAGATCAAGAAAAATGATGACGTAGACTTGTAACATTGCTCGGTCTAACAGGCCAGGGTCGAAAATGTAGTCACATTGCTATCCGTTAGGGCGTAGGTAACCAACATGGCAGCCGTGAATTTAACAGCTGTTTTTATTTCCACGTATTTTTATTCTTAAATACGTATTAATTAAATAGGACCAATACATTTCTTTTTGTTAATTTCTGATCTGTCTTTATACTCTCATTCATAATACATACATGATACATCCCCTATCCTATAAAGCTGTAGGCTGTTAGACGTTAGGATACAAGTTAGGTACGTCGGCAAGAATTGAAGCGTGTCATTTGTTAGTACTTTTCGAGTGCATAGATAGCATTTTGAACGAAAGAGGTGATTAATTGTCTGTTTTTATTAACTTCTGGCATCTTACAGTTTAACACAAAAGAAAACCGAAACAAACAACAATAAGCCTTCAAGGACTGTTTTAGCTTTATTTTTGGTTCTACCAATCCCCACGCATAGCATTGCGGAAAAATTAACGTTTAACATGCTAAGAAAAGAAGCAGGCATTCACCATCTTTCTGGACGTTTCTCTATTCGAGATAACACGAGTTAACATCTTACAAGCATCGTGAATACCCTTATTGATGAACAACTCTGCCTCTATGAGGTCTGGCATTATCATCCAGAAATCGAAACTCCTTGCCAATGAGATTTCTGGTTTGAAGGATGTATTCCTCGATAATTACTTGGACATAACGGACAGCGATGAGGTTGCCTTCAACAATGTGGAATCCAGTTCGTCCTCCAGTATAAATTCCAGCCCAGGCAATTACACGCCGCCTCCAAACTGCACTGAAGTGATCAAATACTGGTGCTTTGTTCCCTGTTCTCGGTAGACTCTTCAGGGCCTGGTATCACTATACAGAAATAAACGAGACTCATCAGTAAACATAACAGCGTTCCAATTGATGTTCTATTCTAGGGCTCGCTGCACCATCTCCTGGGTTGCTGGTGGCGGGTGGGTGCTGCACGACACAGGGGACATACTACGTAATTACTAACATTTTGGGTTGATAAAGGTCTTGGCAAAACATCTTGTACGTCATTTAGGATCAGGCAGGCAGTATGGGAAGGGTTGCGTCTTCCACCATTGATAATATTTCTCTCCGCTCAAAACGTGGTAATGTACTGAGATCCACATCCAGTCCTCCTATTGACACTTCCAGTAGTCCCTCGGAATTGGACTAAAACCCGGGTGATATTCACTTGTTGGTGACCTCGATGACTCGTTCTCACAATAATATTGCGAACTTCTGGTTCAAGATGATGTCTTTCCATGGGTAAAGAGAATATAACTGGATTAAAATGGAGAAAAGACGAGAAAAGGTGTTTATTTACAACATGAGTAATCTTCATTTTACTATTCTTAAGTAAATCCGTTACTAAAAA